GCTCAGCTAAATTTACCTTAACGTATCTCACGGGATGTGATAGAAAATATTCCAACTACGTAAAATGAAATAAAACATTTTTTATCGTAGATAGTCAGATATACAGAGTTATAATAGTTGTTAGATGTTCTAGACTGTGTCTAGGTTTTGGGTCAAAATAGTGTACGGTTCTGTAGGATAAGTTTGAGTCATATTTTATAACTCGAAAACTACGCAACTGTTCAACATATTGATAATTTCGCATAAAACATAGTTTCGAGTCGAAAGCAAAAGCTTAAGTTGTTATAATACTATGATTTTGTATGTTATCTTTTATATAAAATTTTCGAGACAATGTTATTTAATATACTCAACCGAAACGGATTGACCGATTTTTATGAAATTTTATATGCATATTTATAAGTCTGAGAAACGGTTACTCACACGCGGTGCGAGTCGTGGGCGACAGCTAGTATATATATAATTATAAGTAGGTATATTTTTAGTGATAACAACAATGATTGTAACATCTTAGTTAAGTAGTTAATCTAAATAATTTCCGTTCAAAAGAATTGAATATAATTCCAATTAAGGAAATTATGATTTGTGTAATTTATATGTTGTTATAAATATAAATGTTAGATAATGTCACGTTAGTATAATGTTTTATACAAAAAGTATTATAAGATAAGTCAACGTAATCACAACGTCCCTGCATTAACTTACGTCCAGACGATAATAAAAACGAGACAGTATCCAATACATTATAAAATGGCAGTGTCACCGAAAAATAATATTTCAAAACAGTAAAAAAGGCCCTCAAATGATGCCTGTCAAAAGCCACTGCACATTCAACGGTAAACGAATTAAAAACTTATCCTTTTATGATTGAGTTCAAATTTGTATTGACGTAATATGTTCAGACTGGTCAATTAATACGAAAAAAATTCCCTTGTCTTTCTAATTATGTAGCGATGGAGTCAGTTGACAAGGTGCCGAGATAAACAAATAAGACGAGCGGTGAGGGGACTGGCGGGGAAGGCGC